CCTTCCTCATGGTGTGTGTGGGAGACAGAAGAGAATGCATGGGAGGAGGGAGAGATTCAGCCTGTGAAAAACTTCATTTTCACCACCAGCTGGTACAAGAATTGGTGCAGGTCACCCAGTGATGCTCTGCAGTCTCTCCTGAAGGAGAGAGGTTTTCAAAATCCATGAGGAGCAAATGCTGGACAACTTGGTCTGTCCCTCTTTCTGACAACTTGGAATGCAGACATCCCCAGGTTCCCTTCCAGCCTGGCTTGTCTTGTGATCTTACGTCCTCATGACCTATTACTGCTGGGAAGAGAGCAGATGCTTACAGGGCATGAAGCATCCTGTGCTGCACGTGACCATTGAAACCAAGGTCTGAGAACATGAAAAGAGACCAGTACCACAGTGTGACTCAGTGCAAAGACTGAGAGATGTCATGGACAGCTCTGGACAGGGAAATCCAGGGGGGCACAGGGCTCTGTGCCAGACACAAATGGATCTTCCTTTCTTTTTGAAGCTGTAAGTCTGAAATGTGCTAATTAATGTCAGTGAAACTGAACCAAAGATTTGACGACAAATAGAAATCAATGAAAATCTGTTAATACACTTCTCCACTCCTAATACTGTCTCAATCCTTATTTTTCTAAGTTGAGAACACTAGTCTTTTAGGAAATGTTGTCTCTACTATTTTTTGCTTTTCCTGACGTTTTCCAGAACTGTTTGCAGGACACAAATGCCTTCAGGTACAGGGACGCAGCCAGTGGTGCCAGTGCCAATGCCCTGTGACTAATGTCCAGCATCCACTGCTCTACCCTGCTGCATATTTGATGTCCCTCATCCTCCAGTGTCTCCAGCACTCCTGAATAAATGACCATGGTTCAGGGTGTGTTTTCAGCAGGCCATCTGGTCACATGCTCTTCCCACTGCTCTCCAGATTTCCCCATCCCTTGCTCTTTGTTCATTCAGATAGCTCCCAACTATCTGGTTGATCTGTGATCTTCGGGGAGATTATTGCTCCATCTCTCCAAAGTCTGATGGACTCTTTGATCTACTTCTTAACTGTGATTATCTCTCTCCCTTCCTAGCTCTAACACATTTCTTGTACAAATATTCCTTGTGAAAGACAAACCTCATTAGATGCAGCTTGGATAAGGCATGCAGTTGATCACTGTATTTTACTGTTCATTCATTTGCATCATGTTTTCTTCTGTCTGTTGGCAAAAGAAGACAAATCTTTCCTTACCCGTGTGCAGCTGGTTCTCTGAGAAAACCAGTAGGAGTTGGTGCAAAGGAGGTTTAACCCTGAGCGGGTGACTGCAGAGGAAAAGAGTGATGTGAGGAAAAGTGATGCGAGTCCCATGGGGCCAATGTGAGTAGAAATGGGGTGAGGAAGTTGAGGAGGACATCTGTCCACACAGTGACAGAGCAAAGCTCATTAGGGGACATCCTGGGTCAATTTCAGTTGCAAAGTGCTGCTTCAGCTTCTTGTTTAACCCTAACTAAATACAAATTAATAAGTGGACTTCGTATTGCCCTTTGTTCTCTTCCTCTTTAAGCTCTCTCCAGATATCTCTCCAGTTTGCTGTACAAGTTCTGAACACTTGTAGAAGATGACAGGAAGGCACAAGGCACAGGAAGGTCTTCAGGTTGTAATGGGTCCCAGGGGGCATTTGCTGCTGAGTCCATCAACATCCAGTGCAGAGAAGATTGCACGAAGTGCTCAAGAAGACAAAGTCAGAAGGAACAGTGAAGTTTATTGGAGTCTTAATGGGCCCCACTGAGGCCATTATCAAGCAAGCTTCTCCAGGGACTTGTTAGAGCAGATAATTGGAAGCCATGATTACAGGCAGACCAAGGCACTGGGATGGTGGCTCTGATGGTGAGAAAAGCCTCCTTTGTCTTATGAAGCAGAAAGGCCAAACCCTGATCCCCAGACCCTTGGCAGGGAGATCCTGTCCCTCATGCTGGCTCAGGGCCCTTCCTGGGGCAGTGGGATGGACGTTTGTATGATGTCAAATGAAAGACAAGGGGACAGCAGCTCCCAGACTCTGCATGGAGTGCAAGGATGCCTTGAGGCCCAAGTCCCATGTGGGCAGTGTGTCTCACCACAGGATGTGGGATGTGAGAAGGGCCCAGTCTGAACAAGCAGTCAATCCCAATGAAACTTTGAGCTTCAGATCTCTCAGTTCTGGTGCCCTGCTTTAGATAGTCTCTCATAGTTGTACGTCCTTTATGTTCTGCAGTGCCCAGAAGTGCACCCAGTGCTCCAGGTGAGGCTGCAGCAGCGCAGAGCAGAGGGACAATCCCTTCCCTCACCCAGCTGGCAGTGCCATGCTCAGTGCACCCAGGGAATGGTTGGCCTTCCTGGCTGCCTGGGCACACTGCTGACTCACGATCAATTTCATGTTGACCAGGACCCCCAATCCCTTTCAGTGGAACTGCTCACCGGTGTCCCATATCCAGTTAGTTTGTATGTCCAGGGCTGCCCCTACCCCGGTGCAGAATCAGGCACTTGTTCTTGTTACACTTCATTCACTTGGTGCTTACCCAGTTCTCTAACTTGTCCACATCTCTCTGCAAGTCCTCTCCATCCTCAATGGAAACAGCAGCTCCTCCCAATTTGGTATCATCAGCAAACTTGCTCAAAACTTCTAGTCCTCCATGCAAGTCATTGATGAAAACATGAAAGAGAAGTGCTCTTAAACGGAGCATTGGGAAACCTTGCTAGTGGCCTCCATCAGCCTGATGGAACCCCATTTTCTGTAATCCTTTCCGCCTGACCCATTGGCCACCTGCTCACCCATCACATTATATTTCTGGCTAGCCGGCATGCAGGACATTTTGTCCAGAAGGATACTGTGAGAGATGCTATCAAATCTTAAAGGATAACCGCAGCTGCCTTCCCTTTGTCAACTCAATGGGTGATGTTGTCATAAAGGAAAATTAAGCTAAACAGGACCTTGTGAGCTGGTGTTGGCTCTGACCAATGACAGACTTGTCCTTCAGGGGTTTTTCAGTAACTCCCAGGACCATTTTCTTCATAAGTTTGCCGGGCATTGAATGAGAATGACAGCTCTGTAATTGTTGATGTCCTCTTTCTTCCTCTTCTTTAATCTTCCTGTCAACTGGGAACTGTCATGACCCTAGACTTCTTCTGATGTCATTCAAGTGAGAGCCCAGAGAAAACTAAGGTGTCATTAGTGAAATAATGTAGATGTGTCACAGCTTTGTAATGCCTTGAACTCCGGAGTATGCCACGGATGGAGCAGAGAGGAAGATCTGGCTCTTCTGTTCTGAACTCATCCATTTGATCAGCAGATGACACGACATGCTCCATGGGGACAGGTACAAAATGCACACTGGGTGCCCTAAGCACAGGGCTGTGGTAGCATTTAGAATGGCCAGGAATACCTCCCATCTGGTCCTCAGCTGATGCTCAGGAAGGAGTTGTCTATCTCAGAGATTTTCCACCACAGTTTACAAGCACTAGCACACAGCTAGGATCACCCCAGGCACCTTGGTCATCACTGAGTGTCTGTGTGTGAGCAGTGCAGTCCCTGTTGAATAAAGACCAAGGATTCAGGGCTCACACACAGACACCTCATTGTGCACATCTAAACTCAGCTGAGAGGACTCCCAGCTTCCATGATTTTTGTGATCCCTTTTCAGCCCTAGGGTTTGCATCAGCTGATGAGATGCCTAAACCCAGAGTTAGGATGAGATGGTCTGATAGCAATAGGATAAAGGCAAATGGCTTTATATTAAAGAGGGTAGATCTAGGTTACCTGTTAGGCAGACATTTTCTACTCAAAGGAAGTGGAACAGGTTGTCCAAAGAAGTTTTGTGTGCCCCATCCCTGAAGGCATGATGGATGGGATCCTGGGCAGCCTGATCTGGTGGGTGGCAATCTTTTTCATGGCTCGGGGGTTAGAACTAGATCTTTAAAGTCCCCTCCAACATCAGCCTTTCTCTGATTCTTTAATATTATGACTGCACTTTCAGGTCATCGGCGGAGGTTTCCAGATTTGACATTTGCTTCTCTCATGGTCAAACATCTGTTACTAAAAACAGCCGTACTTGTGGAATCCAGTGGACATGAGGTGATTAATTGAGCTGACTTTGTAGTACGTTCTGCAGTGATGACCCTGCTGCCCCTCAGGAGATGTCACCCCTGGAGACCAATGGATATCTCCATGGAAATTCCATCCTCTGCTGCTGAGCTGGGCGGACTCCTGGGACACAAGGAGCTCATACAAGTGGGCAGCACTGCAGACAGCTGTGCTCAGGAGCAGCATTTCTGCACAGCACAGCAGGGCTGGGGGCATGATCTGCAGGTGGCTGGGAGAGGGGAGAAGAAAGAGAGCTGACAGGCTGTGTGGCACGCTAGCAGACTGTGAGCTCACTGGAAGAGCATTGCTCACAGCCCTTGACAAGGTAAGTCTCTGTCTGCAGGCAGTGAAGTGTCTTTTACTGCAGGGATCACTATACTGGGGACATCCCATCGCAGGTCATGCTGCATGCACTGTTTATCATGGAAAACGACCTGCTCCAGCTGAGGGCTTCCGTGCTGCAGCACAGAGCACAGCCCTGAGGGCTGCGTGTCCCAGGACGGCTGCAGGCTGTGCAGCCAGGGCTGCAGCTGGGTGCCCAGGGCTGTCCTGCAGAGCAGCTCCCTGCTGTGCCCCAGGGGCTGTGTGCCAGGGCAGGGGCTCAGCACTCAGCACTCAGCCTGCCTGGGGGGCTGCTCAGGGCGCTGGGGGGAGACGTGTGGGGGGAAGGAGCCCCCTGGCAGGACAGGGGCCTTCTGCTGCCACAGCTGCTGCCTGGGGCAGGGGGCTCACAGCTACACTGCACCCCAGAGTGTTTCCAAGAGGAGAGATAAGACAGGGATTTTCCATTTTATAGGGAAGGGAAAAGGGTTGGAGGCAGGAATCTGAAAGGAGCTGTGAAATATGAACACAATTCTGAGACTCCTGAATTTTACTTTTCTGTATCACTTGTTTTGTGTACAGTTGCATAGAATGTGCTTTCAGCCCCTCCTTCCTCAAAGGATAGAACCAGTTGAAATTATTGTCATTTTCTGCAGACATGAATAATGCACTTATCCTGCAAACAGGCAGGTTTCTCTAACAGAAGTTGAAGGGCAAAGAGGTTGGGAATGTGGGCTCTAAGTGCAATTGGGGTAAAGATATGAGAAATGGAAGCATGAATATATCCTGGAAGATAGGATAAGATTAAAAAATAAAAAAGAAGAAGAAAGAGGAAGGCAAAAGATCGTAAAGATTCTTTGTCTTTTTTCTTATGGAATTAATGAAATTAAATTCAAGCAGTGGAGCTAAATGAGCATTTTCCAAAGAGAAAGAAAATGTTTTATAATATAGCAGGAGGAGTGTCTCTGAGAATGGTCTTGTCTTGTCAATATCTTCTGCGCTCTGAGCAGGACTCCATGCCCAGGAACTGCAGATGCCCAACAGCAGCTCCATCAGCGAGTTCCTCCTCCTGGCATTCGCAGACACGCGGCAGCTGCAGCTCCTGCACTTCTGGCTCTTGCTGGGCATCTACCTGGCTGCCCTCCTGGGCAACAGCCTCATCAGCACAGCCGTAGCCTGCGACCCCCGCCTGCACACCCCCATGTACTTCTTCCTCCTCAACCTCGCCCTCCTCGACCTGGGCTGCATCTCCACCACTGTCCCCAAAGCCATGGCCAATGCCCTCTGGGACACCAGGCACATCTCCTACACTGCATGTGCTGCACAGCTCTTCTTCTTTTTGTTTTTATTTTCAGCAGAGTATTCCATTCTCACCATCATGTCCTATGACCGCTACGTTGCCATCTGCAAGCCACTTCACTACGGGACCTTGATGGACAGCAGAGCTTGTGCCACCATGGCAGCAGCTGCCTGGGGCACTGCGGTTCTCTATTCCCTGCTGCACACTGCCAACACATTTTCACTGCCTCTGTGCAAGGGCAATGCTCTGAACCAGTTTTTCTGTGATCTCCCCCAGATCCTCAAGCTCTCCTGCTCAAAATCCTATCTCAGGGAAGCTGGGCTTATTGTGGTTAGTATCCTTGTCTTATTTGGGTGCTTTGTTTCCATTGTTGTGTCGTATGTGCAGATCTTCAGGGCAGTGCTGAGGATGCCCTCTGAGCAGGGACGGCATAAAGCTTTCTCCACGTGCCTCCCTCACCTGACTGTGGTCTCCCTGTTTCTCAGCACTATCATTTTTGCTTGTCTGAAGCCTTCCTCCATCTCCACCCCATCCCTGGACCTGGTGGTGGCAGTTCTGTACTCGGTGGTGCCCCCAGCAGTGAATCCCTTCATCTACAGCATGAGGAACCAGGAGCTCAAGGATGCAGTGAGGAAAATGATGCCCTGGACAATTTTCAGCAGTGATAAAATTCTCATCTCTCTTTACTAATGACTCATAATCTATTATCTTCTTTTATACTTGTGTTACAGATTTATTTATGTTAATTAATACATTCCTTTTGCTGTTTTACATTTATACGTATATGCTGCATTGTATATATATATGAATATATTTAAACTTGTTATTAGTTATTATTGTGCTCCTAAACATGTGTTTTCTTCCATGTCCTCTGAGGCATTACCCTGCTCTCTTTCTCCAGGAGCCTGTATGAATTCAGGGTCAGTGCTGATGCTCTCACAGCCACCGCATTGGTCAGATCTCACATCTGCAAATGAGATGCCAGCAGACTCTGTGGAGGCTGTGGGGATGCAGCAGGCATGGGGGAGGGGGACTGGAAAAGGATTAATGTCAACCTTATTCATGCCTGTATACTGTTGGTGCCTTTAGAGAGCTCCATTGTCATTCCAAGCATTTTGCATCCACAGAATTCCAGGAAAGGGCTTAGCAGCTCTCACGTCTGACCATCTGGATGTGCTTCCCACCCTGACCATCACAGCCAGCGCAGAGACACCCATCAATGGCCAAACAGACCATGGGAGGGATGGGGTCTGATGGGAGTTGATCTGGGCATGACTTTTCCCTGTAGAGGCAAGCATAACCAGGAGCTCTAGGACTGTGCTGCTATTCCTCAGTCCCTGTTCCCAGCACATGTCCTTGAGACACTCTCTCATCCCTTATGCTGGCCATCAGCCCAAAGATAATCCTTAGACAGACTTGTGGCTGCTGGGTGGCAACTGGAGCATCATGATCCGGTTGTGAGTGTGGGCAGAATGAGCCCTTTGCTGGGTACTTTGCAGGGCTGTAGCCTCTGGGAGCCCACGAAAGCTAGGAGTAGGCAGAGGAGATTCCAAGCCTTTGTTGACTCATGCTCATGGGGCCCTTAAGCAGAGTGGCTTGTGGCAAAGATAGAATCATAGGAGCATCATGGAATCATAGAATGTCTTAGACCGGATGGAATCTTGAAAGTCATCTAGTTCCTACCCCTCTTTCATGGGCAGGATTTCCAACCACTAGATGAGTCTGTGCAGGGCTCCATCCATCCAGGCCTTGAATGCCTTTGGGGATGGGGCATCCACAACTTCTCCAGGCACCCTCATCTTGGGCCTCCCTGCCCTCCAAGTAAAAACCTTTCTTCCTAACATTTAACCTCTTTTAGTTTAAGGTCATTTTCCCTTATCCAGTCACTATCAGACCACATAAAAAGTTGGTCCCCTCCTGCTTACCAGCTCCCTTCAAGTAGTGGAAGGCCACAATGAAGTTTTCTCTACACCCTCTCTTCTCCAACTTAAACAAACCCAAATCCCTCAATCTTTCTTCATAGTAAAGGAGCCCCAGTCCTTTGATCATCTTCATGGCCCTTCTCTGTACCTGCTCCAACATCTCCACATCCTTTCTGTACCAGGGGCCCCAGGCTTGGATGCAGTATTCCAGACGGGGCCTTACAAGGGCAGAGCAGAGGGGGACAATCCGCTCCCTCTCCCTGCTGTCACCACTCTTTTGGTGCTGTTTGCCCTTCCAGGCTGCAAGAGCACACTGCTGATTCATGTCCAGTTTTTTGTCCATCAGGACCCCTAAGTATTTCTCAACAGAGCTGCTCTCAATGTGTTCTCCCACTCTGAACTCATATCTGGGATTGCCTCAACCCAGATGCAACACCTTGCACATGACCTTGCTAAATCTTGCTAGGCTCTCTTGTGCCCACCTTCCAAGCCTTCCAGGTCCCTCTGGGTGGCAGTTTTCCCTTTCACTGTGTCAACTGCACCACTCAGCTTGCTGTCAACAGCAAATCTGCTGAGGGTACACTTAATCCTTAATCCTTAGTCCTTAAAATTAATCTTAAGGATTAAGGATTAATCTTTAATCATTAATCCTTAATGTCTATGTCATTAACAAAGATGCTGAAGAGCACCTGTCTCAAGACAGACCCCTGAGGCACACCAACTATGACCATTCTCCACCTGGACATAGAACCATTGAGAACAACCCTCTGGCTGCAACCATCCAACCAATTCTATACCCACCAAATAGTCCAGCCTTCAGTCCTCCACCTCTCTCCAATTTAGAGATAAGGATGTGGTGTGGGACCACGCCAAAGGTCTTGCACAGGTCTAGGTAGATAACATCAGTTGCCCTTCCTTTGTCAACCAGTGCTGTCAGTCCATCAGAGAAAGCCACCATGTTGGTCAGGCATGACCTGTCCTTGGTGAAGCTGTGCTGGCTGTCTCAGATCACCTCCTCATCAAGCATCTGCCTTAACATAGATTCCAGGAGGATCTGCTCCACGATCTTTCCAGGTACAGATACGAGGCTCACAGACCTATAGTTCTCCAAGTCTTCCTTTCTTCTTTTCTTGAATATGAGAATGATGATTCCCTCTTTCCAGTTACCAGGGACTTCATCTGACAGCCATGAATTTTCAGACGTGATGCAGAGTGGCTTGGCAACCACATCAGGATGTTCTTTCAGAACCCTGGGATGCATGCTGTCTGGCCCCATAGACTTGTACACATTCATTCTTATGAAGTGGTCTCAGACTTGCTCTGCTATTCCAGCACTCAGGAGCAGTCAGGCCTTACACCAACACGAGAGCTAGGGAGAGCATGGAATGGGACAAGAAGCAGCACTGTGTGGATCAAGTGCTAATGTTCCTAGCAGTGCTACCATGATGAGACGACTTTCTTTTGCACCTCGCACATAGGCACTGCCCGTGCAGGTTCAGAGAAGGTCTTGGAAGAAGAATGTTGGACAAAAATTCTGTACAGAGTGCTTTTACTTCGATTAAATTCACAGAAAAATTGGTGCCTATGAGCTACACATGAGATATGCACAATAAATTGAAAAAGAGATGAAGAGTGACATTTCAGTGGGAAACAGTAAAAGAAATAAAGAAAAAGTCCAAAAAAAAAAAAAAAAAAGAATAAACCAACAAACAAAAAAACCCACACAGGTTTATATAATTTATAATTTACAGGTCATAGTCATAAAAAGATGGGCAATTTATTGCATCTGAAAAAGAATCCAGTAATCAGCTTTCACAGAGTGCCCTTGAGCCCCTGGTTCCTCAAGCTGTAAATGAGAGGGTTCACTGCGGGAGGCACCACTGAGTACAGAAATGACATCACCAGGTTCAGAAATGGGGAGGAAATGGAGGGGGGTTGAAATAGGCAAATATACCAGTGCTGACTGGCAGATGACAGCCAGGTGAGACATGGAAAATGCTTTATGCTGTCCCTGCTTAGAGGGCATCTTCAGCACAGCCCTGAAGATCCGCACATAGGATAGCACAATGAAAACAAAGCACTCAGACACTACAGAAATACTGAATGCAAGTACCCCAAATTCCCTGAGATGGGAGATAGAGCAGGAGAGCTTGAGGATCTGGGGGACAGCTAGCACGGCTTCACCAGGGAAGGTCGTGCTTGACCAATCTGGTGGCCTTT